ACTGGTGGAAGACGGGGTAATAAGGGAGGGTACAGGGAGTAAGAGAAATGACTGGTGGAATGACGAGGTAATAAGGGAGGGTACAGGGAGTAAGAGAAATGACTGGTGGAATGACGAGGTAATAAGGGAGGGTACAGGGAGTAAGAGAAATGACTGGTGGAATGACGAGGTAATAAGGGCGATAATTCAGGATGTGAAGACATTTTTATATTATAAAACTATATAAACAAGACTGGGAGTATAGAGAGGAAGAGAGAACCTAAATAAATAATGAACTATTACAAAAGAACAAATTTTCGTATTCATGGGGAAGCGCTAAAGCCATAAGGGTCATACAGCAAGTTTAATCCAAGGAAGAGGAGGGTCGCTCCAAGTCCTTAAATCAAGAGCTCTTCATTGGCATTATGTTTGAAAACTCGAGAAAAAAAATTTGAATTGTTAACCCTTGAAGTGAGTTACCTTGATACTGGTGAAGGCTCATCATCCAGGTATTGGAGCTATCCTCCCTGACCCCTCAAGGAAGGTTCCTTGATGTTGGTGAGGGGCTCTTGATTTAGGGAATTGGATCTGTGCTCCAGTTCCCCGAATTAAGCCTGAATGCCTTCCACATCCCCCCCCCAGGCGCTGTATAATCCTCCGGGTTTAGCGCTTCCCCCTTGATTATAATAATAATATCCTCCCTGACTCCAGTCTGATTACCTTCCATTTCCCAGGTGCTGTGGCTCATACTGGTTTAGCACTTACCCCGTAAATATCTTAATTAAGTTAAACACATGAGAAGGAATGGAGGCTGAGATCTCGTGCACAGGTAATTGAGGACACGATTTTATTAGGAGAAACAGTGCTGTATGAGCCTTGTGGGTTTAGCGCTTAGTTATGATTATAATAATTATTAGTAGGAAAGAGAAGCGAGGGGAAGGCAGTCTAGGGCCAGCCTTTTCTCTTGAATGTTTGTTCAGCCAGGCTGTTGCTTTTGACAGCCTATTATACCACATAGTCATCACAGCCTGGTTGATCTGGCATTTCGCAGAGGTAGTGATCCGGGTTCCTTCTGAGGATTTCTGTATAGAATTATTTTCAACTGAACGTAGAGCTCAGTGGTAGCGTGTTTGGCTCACAATGAAAGATCCCGGCAATGACTCCCAGGTTAGGCGAGAAGTATGAGCAGCCCTGGACTGCTCATGAGGCCATGAAGCCTGGTCACAGACCGGGTGGCGGGGGCGTTCACCCCCGAAACCCTTTCCAGGTATACTCCAACCCCCTTATATCTGACACCTCTGTTCACCCATCAGTAAATAGGTACCTAGGTATTACTGGACTATGTTAAGTAGCATCCTGGGCACGTGGAAACGTGTGGACAAGTCTCCTTACAACTAATTTTCATATTTACAAGGAAAAGAGATACTGAGGTGTTAGCTGACTATTTTGGGTCACATTCTGGAAAAGAATCCCAAAGAAAATAAGTTATATTACTTGATTTTGCTGGGTTATCCTTAATCCTAAATACACCTTTTCCAACCCTCTCCCCACAATGAAATTTGTTACTTATCTGAAAAAACTTGCAAAACAACACTAACTTGTGTCTTGTGTTTCAGGTTATGGACGCGGCGGCACCCAGAGCTTCAAGTATGAAAAGTAGTTAAAAGCAGTTAAAGTAGTTAACAAGAGTTAGAGTAGTTAAAAAGGGGAGTAACAGCAGTTAACGAGGGAAGCAGCAACAGCAGTTATTCAGAGAACCAGCAGCAACAAAGAAACAATACCAACATTCCTAGGAGCACCTGCTGGCGTCTGTGATGACTTACCCGTTGTTCCTACTGTTGCTGCAACTGCTGTTGCTGTAGTCCCTGTTGATATTTTTTGCAGTTGCTACTCCTGCTATAGCCGTTGTTGTTACTGGTGCTACTGCTGGTCTCCCGTTTTAAGAGGCATAAATTCAACTCAAGCGATGCTTCCTATAATTAACGATAATGTAAATCATAATTGCTAAGGTTTGCACACCATTATTTTACTCGTGTATTTACTGTCTTTCGAGGACAAACACATGTTTCATTGTTGACTTGGTCCCTTGACAAATACAGTTTTCTTGTAGAGTTAGTCCCCTCCATCTTTTAATCCCCTATTGCTTTGATAATATCTTGGTCCAGTAAGTTATAATCCTCTGACTCCACGTCCTTCACTTAACCTAATAATTTATGTTCAGCTTAAACCTGGCACTGGGCACCTCGTAGCTCATTGGCAGAGCATTCGGCTCACAACCAAAGAGCCTGGGTTCATTTCCGGGCGAGGTGAGACATATACACAGGTGATTTTTTTTACTGACTAATAACAAAGTTACATTTTTTTTTCGGACGAAATTCATTTCCTAGTTTGTATTCCGTGCACCTAGATTGTATTCCGTACATCTAGCTTTAGTTAACACGTGTGCAAATGTCACAGTAAAAATAAAATAAAAAAAACTTTAGACATTTATAATTTACCTGCACTATAAGATTGTTATTATTATTATTATTATTATTATTATTATTATTATTATTATTATTTGGACATTAAATACCTAAGTGGTTATTCAGTGCCTGAGGAAGGAAAGTTAATGAGGTTTGCTCAGAGACGAAGTCTCATTAACTTGAAACTAAGTAACAACAATAACTCGCTGGAATGTCCAATGAAATTCACCGGAGAAGAACACAAGAGACAGTTTACTGGACGTTATGAGCTTCCCAGAAATGGTGACAGAGTTCAGAGTTTTACATGAATGGTATATACCAAGTTCGGAGTTTTACCTTAAACCCCACTTAAGGGAAAAACTCAATATCTGAGCTGCTAACATATCCTCCAGTACCATCCAAGACTGTTAAACAGTTCAAATCCAGGGATACTTCTGCCAGTGTCTGCGTTATAACTGGTGGAAAGTGTGTGAGGGGAAACATTGCGTAAGGTTAGAAGTGGGTTGTAATCTTTCCTTCGTAAGCGGTGGTAGTCGCAGGAGGCGACTTAAATATCGAAAGGAAAGGGCTAGAAACTCCTGCATCATTGCCCAAAACAGGCAAGGAAAGTCTGGTCGTTTCAATGTGTATGCTTTTTGACCCTTGTGGGTTTAGTGCTTAAGTTTTGATTGCAATAATAATTTCAATATGTACGCGACCTGAACACAAGGATCACAGAATACTGATTTGCTTGACAGGAAAATGACACGAACAACTCTTGTATAACACCTCGTAACACCGAAAAAAAACTGATGACTTCCCCGAAGCCAAACTAATTATTAGGGAAGCAATCAGGCGAAGCAATCTGGCGTTGATCGCCAGACGGAGGACGAGAGCACTGTAACATTGTATCTGCACTTCTGATGAATAATATATAATCCATGAACGTTGATTAGGCTCCGTCAACACTCTTATCATTCCCACCCCTAAAAAGTATTTCCTAACATCCTTTAACGTGTGTGTTTTGTGTATGTGCGTTACCTACCAGTTATCAAAGGCACTTGTCGATAGACACTTGGCCTGCTATATTTGTGTTACCTTGATAGTACACTACTCACCGTTGTTGATGTTGAGAGAGAGTACAAACTAACCCATGTAACACAACACCTCCACTATCATGACACATTCCGACCTTATTTAACCAGACAACCTTGAAAAAAAAAGACACGACGTCCCAAATTCCAGACCGTCCCTCCTTCCTTAACAAGCGTGCAGCTTTGTATCAACCTTCCCGGCGTGACGTCGAGTAACACGCAGGCACCTCGGGAGTTACTTAGGAGACTTTCACATGACAAGTCTTCCATTACACGCCTGCAGTCTCCCAGAATATTGCGACCACCAACAAAATTAAGAAATAATCTTTGATCTTCACCCTGAAGCTCCAGAAAATGTGACTTTGTGAATCTATGTTAATTATTTCTTTTATAACGTGTGTGTGTGTACTTACCTATATGTGGTTGCAGGGATCGATTCACAGCTCCTGGCGCTGCGTGTGTGTGTGTGTGTGTGCTCACACACACAGCTCCTGGCCCCGCCTCTTCAACTGGCCGCTACCCGGTCACTCTTCCCGCTCCGTGAGCTTTGTCATACCTCTTCTTAAAGCTATGTATGGAACCTGCCTCCACTACATCACTACCCAGGCTATTCCACTTCCTGACAACTCTGTGACTGAAGAAATACTTCCTAATATCCCTGTGGTTCATCTGAGTCTTCAGCTTCCAACTGTGACCCCTTGTTGCTGTGTCCCATCTCTGGAACATCCTGTCTCTATCCACCTTGTCTATACCTCTCAGTATTTTATATGTCGTTATCATATCCTCTCTAACTCTCCTGTCTTCCAGTATCGTCAGGTCGATTTCCCTTAGCCTCTCCTCGTGTGTGTGTGTGTGTGTGTGCTTCTCACCTACATATATATGTAATTGCAGGATCGAGTCGCAGCTCCTGTGTGTGCGTGTATGCTCATTTATGTATGGTTACAAAGGTTAAGTCTTAGTTCCTGTCCCTGTCTCTTTACGCTGGGATCACTCCTAGCTTCCTGAACCTTGTTATATCTGTTCATAAAGTCGTGTATAGATCCTCCGTGTACCACTTCGTTGTCTACATCGTTCCAATTTCTGACCAATCTAATGCTGAAGAAATACTTCCTTACGTCCCCGTGACTCGTCTTTGTTTTTAACATGCAAATGTGCCCTCGTGTACCTAGTTCCCAAATGTAGCCTCATGTATCTGTTTCCCGCCTCTCGAGAAGTTTGTCCCTGCCCACCTTATCAATTCCTTTGAGTATTTTGTACTTTATCATGTTTCCTCTGGCTCTTCTGTCAGGTTTAGCTTCTTTAGTCTTTCGTAGCTCATGTTCCTTACCCCGAAGACAAGTTTCGTTGCGAACCTCTGCACTTTTTCTAGTTTCTTGACATGCTTGCTCAGGTGTGGGTTCTATACTAGTGCTGCATACGTCACAATGATCCTGATATGTGAAGTATATAATGTTGAGAACCGAGGTTATTCAACTGATGTGTGCCTCAGGTAATATGTTCGGTACTGTGCTCACCTCGGAGTCCTTTCCTTAAGTGAGATTTGCAGTTTTTGTCCCGGAGCTTGGACTTCTTTTCTGGTCTCCTTTGCCTTTCTCCAATTTTCATAACAACCATACCCTTGGTAAGATTGAATCCCGATTATCACTTACCAGACCAATCCTGCAGTTTGTGCAGGTCGGTGTGTAGGCTTTCCTGGTCCCCTTCTAGTAGTAATTGGTATAATCATACCTACATACAATATTTATGTACAGGGCTCCTCTGTATATTGCTCTCAAGTGGATATCACGTGACAGATGAGAGAGACCAAAAAAAAAAAATAAAGATTTTCAGAACAAAAATTATTTTTTGAGTTAAAACCCCTCAAGGAAGGTTCCTTGAGGGGTTTTAACTCAAAAAATTTAGGGAATTGGATCTGTGCTCCAGTTCCCCGAATTAAGCCTGAATGCCTTCCACATCCCCCCTCCCCCAGGCGCTGTATAATCCTCCGGGTTTAGCGCTTCCCCCTTGATTATAATAATAATAATTTGAGTTAAAAAAATTAATATTTTTTAGACCTGTGGTTTTTGATCAATCTTGGGTCGCGCCACCTATCATCGTTGGTCCTCGTCTCTACGTCTTCCCCACGTCCTGCCTTTATCATATAAAATTCTAAACGTAAAAGAAAATAAAAAGTTTTCTTTATTTCAGAAAGAAAATAAAAAAACTTAGTTTTCATTCTCAACTTTATTTTTAACTGTTGAGAAATTTGGTTCAGTAGCAAATCACAAACACCCAACATATTTCTTATATATATCTGCTCTGGAAATTACTCCCCCCCCCCCTCCATGGAGGGCGAGTTCCCTGGTTAAGAACAGCTGTTCTAAACTTATTGTTTGCCAATGTAGTGGATGCAGATGAGTTAATTTCTCACTCCTTTTAGGTTTATTTAGATTAATAAAATATGATTGTTGAATTGGTGGCTTACATGTATTAGCACATTAACATTGTTATCAGTTTACTATGTTCCAGAACTTTACCTCCTTTACATACTGTGGGATTGTGCAGAGTAATTTGTTTATAACAGCACTGTAGGCAATTAGTGGCACTGCAATGATTAATTACATAATTATTCATGTCTATGGTTAATTATTGCTTTGATTTTGATTTTCTATAGCAAAGAGGACTCTGGTATGCGTTAGTCAAACTTTTTTGCAAACAGTCACCATTCGAACTGTTTCTGAAGCAAACGCATTGGCGCAGTGTAAATAAAAAATTAAATACATCATAAAATGCCTCAAACTGCTCTGAAACGTCGAAATGTGCAATACAAACATGTTTTTCTTATTTTTCTAATTTGTGTGCTATGTCATGCTCCATATATTTCTTATATGGTAATAAATTACTATTATTATTATTATTATTATTATTATTATTTGTAGTAGTAGTAGTAGTAGTAGTAGTAGTAGTAGCGATATAGCGGTATTCTCCCGGCCCGGGCCTTTTCCAAGTGGTGGCCCGGCCTTGGCTCCCTCTTTAGGGAGTGTCTGAGACCTAAGTCTCCCATGGGAGGAGGCACAAGTACCTCCTCATCTTTGGGACCAACTGTCCCCAGGCCTAGCCACAAGCTAGGCCTCTCTGGTCTGCCATCCCCGCCCCAAAGGGGCAAATGGGAATGACAGTCTTATGAGCTAAACTGCTAAAGGCTCGGGCTCAGGCACCTACCCTACCCTAGAAGGGTTAGGCATGGTGTCGATCAGATAGGATCAGATCACAGTAATAGGTACATGAATGTTACAGTAAGATAAAATATGAAATAAGTACATGTATGTTAGCTATACAAGAAATCACTCTCTTCCCTTTCTGTAAGTAAGTAAGTAAGTAAATTTATTCAGGTATACACAATACAGTTACATAGAAAACCCCCCCCCCCCCCCCCCAAAAAAAAAGGGAAAAAGGTTTTTTTTTTTCCCCTTAAAAACCCCTTTTTTTTTCCCCCCCCCTTTTTAAATTTTTTAAAAAAAAATTTTGGTTGGGGGAAAAAAATTAAAAAAAAAATTTTTTTTAAAAATTTTTCCCGAAAAAAAAAAAATTTTTTTTTTTTTTTTTAAAAAAAAAATTTTTTTAAATTAATTTTTAAAAAAAAATTTTTTTTTAAAAAAAAAAATTTTTTTTTTTCAAAAAAAAATTTTTTATTTTTTTTCCCCAAAAAACCCCCCCCCCCTTTTTTTAAAAAACCCCCCCGGGCCGGGGAAAAAAAAAACCCAAAAACCCCCCCTTTAAAAAAGGGGAATCCCCCCCCCCCCCGGGGTTTTTTTCCCTTTTTTTTTCCCCCCGGGGGTTTTTTAAATTTAATTTTTTTAAAAAAAAGGGGGGGGGAAAAAGGGGGGGAAAACCCAGGGGGGTTTTCCGGTGTGGAAAAAAACCCCCCAAAAAGGGGGCAAATTTAAAAAAAACCAAAACCCAAC